CCGTGACTCGGTGATGAGAGATACCTAGCTTTTTATACCCATCTACCAACACATAACATTGAACCTTTCGTGCAAGACTATATCTCAAGATGAATATGGACGACGACTCTGCCGAGATTGAGCTGGTGAGTGCCATTTGTCACTTGTTAGATGTTTAGCGTATCTAAACCATCTTAGCTGGAACAGAACTTGAGCAAGACTCATCAGATATCTCAGAAGATGACAAGTAAGCCAAGCTCTAGATCTCAAAGACCCTCGACTCAACCCGTCAGCTATACTGAACAGCTTCGATACACGTCTTGCTAGGCTCGAAAAGTCCATATTACCACTTTACAATTCTGCCCAAGTCCTGAACCGAAGAGCAAGCAGTACGTCGTGAACATAATCGACACATCAGTGCTTTAACAACGGGCAGATATTGAGAAAGCCTTAATAAAGATCGACGAAGTAGCGAGTAATCAGGAGGGAATAGCTGCTGAAGAGGCATTGATTCTAAGAGGGTGCGTGTTTTATTTTAGCCATGATGACAGCGGTGGCTCACGAACTCAAGCAGACCGCAACCCGGAGAATTTGATGTCTACAAGGATGCTCTGCAACGACTCAACGCTTCGATCGCCTTCAAAGCGTCTGACCAAGATTCCTTCGACACTGCCCGACTAGTCGAAACCGGTGCCAAGAAGCTTGCTCAACTTTATACCAAACTAGTTGCCGAAGGCTCCACTGGTACAACGCCTGCTCCAGGCGTCGAAATAGTCAAAGCTCCCTTCCCATCTCAGTTGCGCTCCACACTCCATCCTATAGTTGCCTTCCTCCGTACATTGCCAATCCCATCTACTCATCCGTCACATCCAGCCGCAGCTGCTATCCTCACGACTCTCAAGGATGCTCAACGAGGATACGCTGACATGCGAGGGACCTGGGCAAAGAAATGTCTAGAAGCGCACGGAAAACGCGTCGTAGATCGCGCAGACACTGTCGAACCGATTGCTACTGGAAAAGAATTGGGAATATGGATCCAGTCGCTTCTATCGGTCGCGCGAGAAGAGTACAATCTGCTCAAGGAAATGAGTACGTTGGCTAGTCCATCCCAACTGGCGTCTCATTTTGGTAATCTCCTCAACCCGCTCGTGCTTTTGATGAGCAGCACTATCACTTCATTGGTCGCTTTCTCCAAGCGATCTCTCCAGAAATACGGGTTTCTGATACTCTCTGCCTACGAGGCGCTTCTTGAGCTACAACCGATGTGGGACGAGATTGCTGCACTTAGGGTATCTTCCGAAAGTCGAAACGAGAATAGGAAGGAGATCAACGAGTATAAAGATGTTTTGCAGGTTGTCAGAATGGTTTGCATCAGGATGTTCCCAGAGGCTCTGGCGGATATCAAATTATCAACAGGAAGGACTGGAGACACAAGTACGGCAGTGTTAGATACAACAGTGGAGGTAATTTCGTATCTTCTGATATGAACAAGTTTTGTGGCTGATATATGATCATAGGCTGTACAATTTCTCAATAACATGCAAGAGGTACTAACAGGTTCTGCTGATATTTTATCAGTGGTGGGCGATGGAAATTGGAAGATGGGAGAGGGAGTTGTTGTCAAAAAACAGGCAATAGTCGAAGTCAGTGCACAGACATTGTTGGAACATTTTATCTGTATGTCGTATTTGTCCTCAACCGCGAACACCGTGGCTCATCGACTTTGTCCAGACGATGTCGTTGTCACGATCATCAATACGGTCAGCCTCATTTCACGTACACAACGGCGCCCGCCTTTCGATTCGTTTTTCCTATTGAACAACATTGCGTATTTGCGAAGAAATATTCTGGAACCCCGGCAAGAGTCGCTCATCGACTACCTCACGAAGCCTACCCAGGACATGCTCAACTCGAACTTTCGCACAGCGAAAGCGAGCTACCTTGACGCTAACTTTTCTCCGCTCATGCAGTCGCTTTCGGACGATCCAAAAGAGAAGGGTAAAGCCGCAACAAAGGAGAAGTTCACGAGATTCTATGACCTACTTGAAGAGGTGTTAGAGAGGCACCGGTTAGCCAAGGTACTAGAGGATGACGCAGAGAGCAGAGAGGCCATCGGGAACGATGTCATTAAATTCCTCATCCCATCGTTGAAGGCATTCACTCAGAAACACAAGGAGAAAGAATTCAGTAAGAGTAAGCATGATTGTGGCTTTCGAGGAAATTCTACTTTCTTGCTAATGTCTCGAAATTTCCACCCAATCCTACTACGATCCCCTTCCGCGATGGTTAGATCCCCAAAAATGTAACTGCTTGTTCCGCTATTGTTCCCGTCCGACTGTCTATTGATCTTTTTTCGTTCTCAGACATCAAGTTGTCCGCGGAAACGGTGGAAAGCCAGCTGAGAAGCATCTACCGATAGTTGATTGCAATCGCTGTATTGTGTGTTTGGTGGTTCAAGAAATGTATTAATAATCTTCCGCTCCAGCCCTATGTCTTCACGAGAGCTCGAGGAACATGAAAGAATACCCGGGTGCTTTCTTGCCTCATTGCCAGCAGCCTGATTACGGTGTGGAATTTCAACGTGAAAGAGAGCGAGAGAGAGAGCCGGCTATATGCTGTCTTTTGTGGTCCCACCTCGAAGTAGTATGGCCGTCGACGCCGTCGACTGTTGTATGTTATGTACGTAAACCGTTTTCATAACAAACACCTCAAACTTAATGTCAACATCTTCATGTTCTTTTCGCGCTCACCAAGCTGCCGGTTACAGTCAAGACTAGCTTGGGTTCTAACTGGTTCATGATTCGTACGTACGACAAGGACATGAAGATTGTCTGATGTGATTGGAAAAGAAGACAGTCCCACATTGGCTTGAAGTTCAAGCTCCGTTCTGCCAAGATCTCTCAAACTTCTGGTGCGATCTTTCCGTTATTATTCCAATTCTGAATTCACAGAATATTACCGTCAATTATCCTCAAGGTACATACGTACGGGTCTTGCGTCTGCTGTCCAGTTTTCGGTATTCCCAGAAAGCCCGTGCTCTGAACAGTTTACGCCTTCGACGTCACCCTTGACCCATTAACACTTTCATGTTTTTTGCGGGATTTTTTATGTCAATTGCTTGCCCTACGGACTCGGGTTTGTGAATGTCAAGTCTTTGGAACAACACAGCATATGTATGTCTGCGCTCTAGAACTCCGAAGCGTTCAGCGTCTACAAATGTTTACACGAACACTGAGGCTTCCTGGAATTCCATAGGAAGAGGGGGGCAGGGGGAACATGAGATGATTGTACGGTTGTTCTATGTTCGAAGAATTTCGTACGAAAGGTCTTGAGAATTTTTTCCTGTTTCGAGGAGCGAACATTCTAAACGAGAAAGGCAACTGAACACACTGCATGTCAAAACGGTATTCAAAACCACCACTGTTTTTCAATTTGTTCACTTTTAGCTGATGTGAAAATTACAGGCTTTTAGGTGGTATATACAGTCCTTTGGTATTCTTCCGCGACATTTAATTTCTGACACGCCCATCCGTCAAGAGTAAACTGATGACTCGATTTACCAAGAATTCCATCTGTAGCCTGTAGGCCGGGGCGTTCCCTTCGTTGCACTGGTGCAATTTTAGATGTTATGATTTTCAAGAGGTCTGAATGAGGGCCTGGCGCAGTCCGGGTCAGGTTCGTGGACCCTATTTCCTCCCAAGAGCCAATGAACGTAGCTCAGCCGCTTTACGAGGGGGGTACCTGTAAATCCTGTAAAGTCTTGACCCGTCTTGACAGAGAGAGAAAAGATATAAAAGCTGGACAAAACCGCCTTCATGATCCTCACTCGAACAAGTAACCATCGTTCAAGTACTCTCATTCTTTATCTCAGCCATGCAGTTCAAACTTGCCTTCGTCACCGCTGCTCTCGCCACTCTTGCGGTCGCCACACCCACTCCTCGAAATGAACCAGCGAGCAGCTGTACTACTGGACCGATCCAGTGCTGCAACAGCGTCGAATCCGCCACCAGTAGTCCCATCGCGCTTCTTCTTGGGCTTTTGGGCATTGTCCTCCAGGACGTGAATGTCAACGTCGGTCTCACTTGCTCTCCTATCACCGTCATTGGTGCGTCGGGCAGCAGTTGGTAAGTTATAAAATCCTAGCTCCTGGACGCAGGGCACAAGCTGATGTTGTATGATGTAGTTCTGCGCAAGCTGTTTGCTGTGATGATAACAGCCACGGTAGGATGATCTCTTTTTTTCCGTTTCCCACATGGGTTTCTTGAAGCTGATCATCATTTTACGCAGGTGGACTCATTTCCATTGGCTGTGTTCCCGTCTCTCTTTGAGCATCATCCACCAAAGCTCAATTATGCGCTGAGAGAATACCCTATAGCGTTATCTCGCTGAAACCTTGGGACTATGTACTCTTTCATTCTTTTGGGATCGTAGGGGGTCAATAGTGAATTCATCTTTCATTGCTATAAACATCTTTAGGCGTTTGACGCTCGATACTGAAAGCGACGATGCGAGGCCATGCCGCCATGCCAATGACAAGACTCCAACTGTTATTAATGTTAGACCGTTGTCCCTCATCCGGGAATTCGGAGAGCAAGCTTCTGAAAAGATCCCGCTGAAAGCATTGGCTGTGTTCCACTCTCTCTTTGAGCACCGGAATCGCGACAGGTTGGTTTGCGTGGAGAGAACGACTTGTTCAACTAGCGTGCTCGATGGTTTTTGTGGGACTATGTACTCTTTCATTCTTTTGGGACTGTAGGGTTTAATAGTGAAAATCTGGGTCATTGTTGAAAAAAATCTTCGGGTGGTTCACAGTCACTCGGGACTGAGAGCGACGACGCGAGGCCATTCCCTCATCAGGCCGACGTTGTTCCTCATAGTTCCTCATTCGGAAATACGGAAAGAACAAGCACAGCCTTGCACCAACGGAGAGTATGCTCCAGTATGCTCTAATCATGACTTTGGCGTTTGAGAGGCGCAGAAACGCAGGATTTCTGAGAAGACGTCAAGCCGCAAGACAAAAATGACCACCGCAGGGGTCGAACCTGCAATCTCCTGATTACACACCTTCTAAGAATCGTTGAATCGTAGTCAGACGCGATGCCATTTCGCCAGGCGGCCACAGCAAAATCCCATTATGTAGCGCAGGTTGGAACGATTAAATAAATCTGGACGGTGGGAATTCTACGCAAAGAAACTAAGCGCTCGTCTGCGCTCGTCCTTCGACTCTGAGCTCGATTCTTTCATAGTAATTGTTTCTCCAAATGTCCGAACTCTGTCAGGTTTGACTTTCAGTCGTCTGTTGAGCTCAAGGTACGTGCCCATCTCTTCTGCGCTTTCACTCTGAACTCGAACACCTCCCTTCAGTTAATCTGCCAACCTCGGAAGACTCGGATGAACTCCATGATGAACTTGACTCCCTTATACGAAGACGAGCTTGGTTGTCGAAATAAGGATGAGTTGATGAAGCTTCAAGCGCAGGATCCTCTACCCTTTTTGTGATATCATCTTGGCAAAGCTCTCCGAACTTTGCAGCGAGGTGCCACGCAAACTAAAAGCGAACAAGAAACGTTTACTATTTCTCGTTCAAAAACGTTTACTGCGATCAACAGAGAACGGTACAATCTCAGAATGAATCGAAAAAAAGACCTCAACTCCCATAGGTATTAGGTATGTGTATGCTGTTTTTTTCTAGTCAACTCTTTCCGTCCTTCTTCGACAACATCCAACATCATCAAAGTTGATTAGGTACGTGCATGGCAAGGTGTTGGCCATGTTACTCAGAGTTGCACGGGAAGGCAACCAAGGGAGACGAGTCCACCTATAGGCGAGTGCGTATCAGCATCATCCAAGGGTTGAAATACACTAATCTGTGTATTGTGGTGAACTACCGCGTACCATAGTTGTTATCATTGCAGCAGACGGCCTGAGCATTACTATCGAACATCGTTTGTTAGTAATAGTAAGAGTAGGTGAGACACAGTTTCTTACCAGTCGTTCCCGTTCAGGACACCGATGACATCAATCGGAGAGCAGGTAATGCCAACGGGGACGTTCACGTCCTGGAGGACGATGCCAAGGAGCGCAAGAAGCGAAGACGCAGCAGTGCTCGTGGCCGGCTGGACACTGTTACAGCATTGGAGGTCTCCGGTGGAACAGCTACTCGCTGGCTCGTCCCGAGACTTGGGAGTGGGCGTGGCGACCGCAAGGGTGGCGAGAACGGCGGAGACAAAGGCAAGTTTGAACTGCATGTTGACTAGGAGAGTATGCTTGAAACTGGATGAGAGATTGAAAAGGTTGCTTGAACGACGAGTGGTAGTTGTTCGAGTGAGGGATAACACGGGGGAGTCCTTCTGGGTTTTATACGTTTTCTTTGTCCAATGGGCTGATTCAAGTCTTTCTTTCTTCCAATTGCCAAGCAGGCTGCCTGTACTATGGATATGTCTATGTCGTCCGATGTCACAGAAATCATATCCTTTCACTGTTCAGTTTCTATGTCGCCGTGCAACGGAGCCTTCCTCGCATGCGTGAAATGATCATTGCGACTGACAGGACGGGGATGGAAAAGCCAATATATCCTTACGGAATGAATCGACGACACGCAAATATCCTCTCAAAAGGAAACAAACATACGACTGATAGGCGCGTTTAGGGAGAACTACTACCAGCCCTCGGTTCGTTCGTATGCAAGAGATCAGTCAATGAAGAGTCTTCCGAACATTTGCTTGCTCGCTTTGGCCCCCCTCTTTCGCGCTTGTCATCGATCGCAAGTTGGAGGGGTGACTGGAACATATGTGCGACATGGAACTCAACACCGTGGGGTTGGTTCAACAGCTTACAGCTAGCACGGCGCCATGAACACGGCTCATGCTGTATGTCCGAGCACGGTTGTTCAAATTTTCAACGGACGCGTAGTAGTATTACTAGGAATTTGCATGTGGATACTTCAAGAAGAGCTATCACAGTTTCATCCTTTCGGATAAGTCATCAGTTTCTAGAAATAATCAATTGGAACAAGGTTAAAACTTTTAGAATGGCTCTCCCTCTTCCACCCTTCTTCGCCCCCTCAGAATACGCAAACTGGGTGAGGCAGGGTTGAGGCGTTTCACAAGGACTCCAGAGAACTCCACCGACTCACGAACGAGGAACTCCCTTCATGACTTGCATGGGCCATCTGTTCGATTTGTTGGGAATTTCTATCACTTGTCAGCTCCCAATCGATTGGGCCAGTATATCAGCTAGAATCAGGCTCCGCGCGGTGTGTTACTACGAGTCCTTCCTCAAAGTTCACACGTCCCCGCGTCGGAGTGGAGATGAATGCCTCAGGCTCCATCAATGAACAGGTGTCAATAAAAACTGTCAGCAGGCTGCAGCCATCGGAAAGCAATCGCGCCCCCCCCCTCCCCCCACCACTGCCCACTGCCCAGCTCACCAGACACCCCAGTCAGAGGCATTGCTGGAAATGCTCCCCCAGCTTATGTCAGGTTGATGTTCCATCAGACTGGAGCAGTTGAGCCATTCGAGACACCAAAACTGTCCAAAGTTCCAAGAGGTTCGTTATAACGTATAATAAGAGAAATAATATTAACATTAACATGACCATTTCGCCTGGACTGCCACCCGTGGCCATAGGCTATACAAGGCTATATACATCGGACATCCCAGGACGACGATCCGACCCGTCCTCTTGTTCCCGGGGTGCAATCGGTGCGACTATTGGCGCAGGAGCCATCGAGATGGCTTCAGACATGGGTTGGACTGATTCTCCTTCGTGAAAGTGCAGGAACAGCGGTCGAGAGGCAAGGTCGCTCGTGCGTTGACGGTGATAGTTCTTGACAACGAGGAGAGAGGATAGGCGGGAGAAGGTGACTGTTTAGCAACCTCAGTGAATGTTCATGTCCACGCTTTTGCGGCCCGGGTGTTCTGGACTTTGCAGATATTACCATGGGCCCATGGGCCAAAGCTGTTCTTACGGTCGTTCCTGGTTCTATTAAAGATCATACGCCATTGGCTAGTCATAATGGTACACTATAGTTACAGTTAATTGAATAATGAAGTCCATTCATAGGTGCCATGCGTGTTCGAACTACCTACCCACCGGTTCCAGCTGTCTTTTTGATGCGATTGGCAGCAATTCTCAAAGAACGACGCGGAGCCGCGCCAACGGTCAACGAGGCTGATCTCTCAGGATTGGGAGATTCATCCGTAAGAGATGTTTCCGAATGTAAAGGTGTGAGCGGGGAAGAAGGCTGAACACTGATGTTGGCAACAACATCCGAAATCACAGCAGGTCGATCATTCGAGAACTGAGAACGAGGAGGGATTCTGATTGTAAGAGGTCGCACACTGCTGGCAGTCATCTTGGCCGGTCCTTCCATGTTTTCCTGTACTTCAAGAACACGCTGAGGAGACTGATTGGTGACGTCTGACAGGCTAGTTGACCGAGGACTTGTAGTAGGAGTGACAGACGGGCTCTGAGTGCAACATGAGATGTTGGGATGAATTCTCATAAGCGTAAATCCTAACCTTTGTTCCATTCTCAGAATTTTCCGAAAGAGGTTCAATGGCCACATTGCGATTCCTGCGATTGATGAGTGAGGAGCGCTAACAACAAAATTCTGCATTTGTGGGAGGATTCGAGACAGAACTGTGATTCACCTCTGTTTGAGCAGGCTTTGCCCGAACGTAGGAAGTAGCCCGTTTGTTTCCACCAGCATTTCCCTTGCTCGACTCGCACGCGGGATCGGTCTACAGCAATGAGCTTTGGAAAGAAGGGAAGTGTAGTATGTACTTACTTTGATCAGGCCCTTTCCGTACTTCAAATTTCCAGAACCTTGCGTCAACGAGCTTCCCTATACGTGAGCTGTTTTCAGTTGATAAATTGCGCTCCAAATCAAAAATCTTACCTCAGAAGCAATCACCCCTTCAACATTATTCGACAATCCCCCTCCTGTAGAACTGCCGGCAAGATCATTGCCGGATGGACCAGGTCGTCCAGCAGACAGATTCACCAAAGAACGAAGGCCCAACGCCGCATCTCCATTGGTAATCCCACGATCAATTTCCTTGTGCCACTCAAGATAAGCAAACGGTGATTTCGTCATCGTGGATGTTGCTCTCTGCGGCACGAATTGTGATGCATCGCGGGGTCCAGCCAACCTCGTACGATCAAAGAGAGGGCTTGAATCTTCCAAAGCTCGGACAGATAGTGAGGAGTTTGATGAATGAAAAGACCCAGAGACTTCGCGCCCATCGGATGCCTCTTGCAGAAGCTCCCTTGAGTTCCCTTGCAGAGATGTTCCCGGGTCTAGCAGATCCCACCCAATATCATACATCAATGCCATCTCGCGCAAAGTCATGGCGGTCTCAAGATTTTGTTCGATCGAATTGTCGTAGAAGGACAACTTGCTGGGATCTGTTTGCGAGAGAATGTAGAACGCGTGCTCGAAAAAGGATCTCGGTCCTTCCCAACATGCCAGGGAGATCCATTGGTTTATGAGGGGTTGATGACGGGGATCACATAGAAACTCTTGATAACGCCATTCGACTTCGGCTTCAGTCAGCTACGACGAGAACGAAAGGTTCAGAAAAAATGTGTATCGAGTTGCGACGCGACTTACTTTTCGTTCGTAGACGTAGTGTCCTCTAAAGGATAGCATCTGATTTGGTGAATGATTGCGGAGGGACAGCACAACCATGCACTTTTATATGTTCTTGAGTTTTGAATAACCATTGCGGTTGAACGTTGAACGTTGACGTTGAGGTCCAAGCTGCGTTTGTTCTTCATGAATGTTGTAGTATGAAAGATGAAAGGGATTTATCGGAGTTTGAAAACTGGCCATGGCTAGGTCTTTGACCTTTTTGATTCTCAGGCTTGGACCACCTCCTAGTAAGTGTTCAAACGACGGTCGATCTGTTCTGACTTATTCTAAAACAGTGAATAAAATTGGTTTCGGACTCTCCTCGAGTGATAGGACGGTTTTCTCGTGACCTTGGGATGCTCCTGTTACGACGCTCCGATTTCATGCGAGGTATTTATGCAGTTCAATCTATAGTAATGGTCTCGGCGAGAACAACCAACGAACTACAACTCCTGTACTCTCATATCTCATCTTGCCACGACCTGTCGTTCTCGTTGAACTTCTCAGCTTCAAACGAAATCTCACTATCACATCCCGTCTTATCCCATCTATGAATGTCCTCTCAATCTACTAGTAGCTGACTTACCTCCTACAAATTCTTCTCAGGCAAATTGTCACAAGGTTCCCCTCAGCCAGTGCCCTATAAAAGCACCATATCATGCCCACTTTTTTTTGACACCAATATTCCAACCTCCCATGCGTGCGGTAGTGTACGAGAAGCCATTTTCTGTGTCGGTGCTTGAAGTCCCAAAACCCTCGATTTTACATCCTGATGATGTGATTGTCAAAGGTCGTCCCTGCCATAGCACATATCTGGTACGTCGTTTTGACTGTTACAACTTTAGTGACCACGACTTGTATCTGCGGAAGGTTGTATTCGTATATTTACTCGGAATGCTATGAATGCTCAATCAGACACAGCGACTGGCTTAATTCAACACTCAGTATCCGAATTGAAGAGCTCAATGCTCAAATATCCTCTCTTTATACCGAGAATCTTCAGCTTCGCGCTCAGAGATCAACCTCGCTGCGCAGCTGAGACGTGAGCGTGAAAATCGCGAAAAGACATTGCAGAAACTGAGGCAGCGGCACGTTGCAATTCATACAATATATCATCTTGGTGTCTTATCATACCAATTTCACAGGCACTTGGGCTAACAAAACATTTAGGCCTCCTTCGGCAGGCTTTTGCGATCGCAGATGAATCGACTACCTCTTCCTCGTCGCCTACGCCACCATTAAGTCAATCAACGACCACTTTCTTCTGCAGGTTCGCCAAATGCCCCTGTATGTCCTCGCTTATCCCCAGCACTCACCATTCCTTTCATCCGTGAAGATATCGAACCTTCAAATGCTACCGTAGACGACGACCAATCAACAGAGAAGATGCCTAGCCCAAGATGTAAGAACAAGGCTAAGGGCCCTCAGCCTCGCGGTTGTCTTCACCCGAACGCCTTCTCCGCTTCCTGTTGCACCTTCTGTGGACCTTTACGCGAGTCCGACGAAACTGAAGCCTCGGCGTCGCCGTAGTAAGCTTCTCGTGCATCAAGACAATTCCGTAGTGGGTTCACAGGAAGCTGGCGAAGACAACGGAAAGGCCGCAGACCTCAATCAAACCGATGCATTGAATGAAATGAGACTGGAAAACGTGACTAATTCGCCAGGAAATCGTCCTTTACAACCAGGAAATATCGGTACGCGAAAGCTTGCGTACTCTCTCCACTTGACTCATTGATATCCAGCTGTCTCGGGAGCTGAGAATTGAATGCGCGATGTTGGCAAGCAGCAGAACAGAGTTCACAACGCCTTCATCGACGTCGTTGCCTTCCAACTCCCATCTAAATCTGTTCAGTGACTCGTCTAAAACGCCACTTTCCGTTGCCAAAACGACGTATGCGTAAAAGTGTCAACTACACTGAGCCGAAGCTGAACACGTATGTTATTTCTTTCCGGTCTTTTCTTTTCCTTGTGAAACCTGAATATGTCCGACTCCTTGCTTTTGAACAGCGAAATGCGGAAACCATTGGATTCGGAACCGGTTCCCTCTTCCCGAATGCATCAGTCGACCGTTGCGAATCAGAGCGATTACCTCTGATCGTACCGAAGACGGCTTGAATGAGCCCAAAGAGACTGCTGATAGCGATGACTATGATATTGGTGAAGCTCGTCCACTGTGTCCGGAGAGTTCTAGGTATTTGGCTGTTATTTCATCTCAACCTCTAGCATTATCAACTTCTACCTTAGGCCCATTATAGTTGACTGCTAGTAACATACTAGTAGCGTCTCATACCGTACATGTTTCGCACATACTTTATCCGATACTCAGGTGACTAATCTTCTGAGGGTTCTCGCGAAAGATTATGTGCGAGTTTCCGACAAAAATAGGCTCGCCTTTGTCGTGCTACTAGTCAATCATGTTGACTCTCGAGCAATGAGTAATCATACAGAAATATCGAACGGAAAGAACAGTCGTACATCGCAGCAGATATGATGAGTAACAATTGGAGCTAGCGAACACGCATTGAATCCCATCTTCTCACTTTCAGAGGCTGAATATCAGAGACTCGGAGTCTGTCATCCCCGCTGCGTATTCATCGAAGTCGAATTCAACCCGGCCATGGCGATTTGGCTGCATCTTTCGGAATCTCTCAGCCAATACCGCGAGGATAATGCAAACCCTGACGAAACCGTCAAAGCAGATACGGGACTCGAGATATTCGGATTGGCCTAGGACACAGTGAGGTCGGCCTTAGGGTAGACAGTAGTGAGTATTCTGTCCTGGCGGTTCGAAAGGAGAGGACTTACTATATTTGTCCTGGAGCAGGCGGATGTTCTGATACGATATGGGTTGACCCTGAGTTAAACTTAAAGTACTGATGCAGTCGGAAATTGAAGATGTTTGGATTTAGCAGAGGAGTGGACCAGCGTACCGAAGCGCGTTCTCAAGCTGTTCATCAGTGATATATGAATATCCACCAGACTCGATTTCCATTTGGCCGAAATTGGCGTTTAAATACTATATGTCATTGCAGAATTTAGTGATCACATTGGAGAGTAGATGAAGGCGATGTTCACCTGCGTGAACTTGCACAGGCGAGTGAACTACGTGATGGTAATCAATCGTTATCCAAGATGATAAAGTGCAGACATTGTACTTCATCTAGGTTGAGGGCCCCTCGAGTCGTCTGAGCCTGAAGCAACAGAATCAACGAGACGCTATAATACCACACAGTCACTGTATACATCCACTGCTTAGCTACATGATGCATGTGCGGTTCAAGATTGTGCTTAAGTTCTCATACTCACAAACGATATGATTTTGATAAGCGGCCCTAGATTCATTGATGAATACATCGACTATCGATCCAGGTTCATGATATCTGCTACCATCGTTCTCTACCTGTCGATTGCCTCTCCTTCATATCATCGAATGAGGAACATTCAACATCTCTTGGCTTAACAACCTTCTCGCGATTCGACCAATACCTACATTTTCTCGAATCTAGGAATCGCTAGTAGATGGAGATGTACATACTGAAGGCTGAAGTCGATAATGCGAGATTTCGATGATGAGAATTTAGATGTCTGTAGGCTTCTGCTGCTGCAGGATGTCTGAATGAAACCGGGAGCGTTTGTATTACAATACAGTTTCAAGGGGTAGAGCCTAAGAATAAGTGAATATAACTTGGATCAACAAACTTCATTTGATGGTTTTAGTGCTGCCTTCTGCTGCTCGAGCTTCGTGTAAAAAAAGTTGACGTACCCACGAATAAAGACCGCGAATTCAAATCTATATTAAATCTGTCAAACCACATATACATCCTCGAGCCTAGCAACTACTGTTAGAAACTAATCGAATCTCGATGATTTCCATTCAGTGCTACTTGTAATTGGACAATCCAGACCCTTTCGGTCGAGCACTGGTATGTCTCAGTAAACAACTTCAATGGAGAGGAAGAGCAATTCGAATATTGGTACTGGGCTCCATGGCTGCAGGCTCAAGGGCTCGATGTCAATCTCTTCCTCGCTCCCCTCTTTATTCTTCCTGGCGTTCTCCTCCCGATCATAGAGACGCACCCATATTATTGCTGCTATAGCGGATGCCACCGTATCGGAGTGCCTTTTGGGCCGTTTTCGAATTCTGGACCATGTTCTTGACAATCTTCTCGCAACTGATCCTTTGTTGCTGATATCGCTGTCACTATCGATCCAAGTTCATAACATCTACCATCGTTCTCTAGCCTGTCAATTGTCTCCTTCATATCTTCCATCGTCAGTATGTCGATTGAGGCTAAACCCTCAACATATCTTTTCTCGACGATGTTCCCGCAATTCATCCAACGCCTATATGTTCTCAACTCGAGGCATCCTGCTGGGCACCTTCATTGCCCCCGCACAATCGGAGTCATTGGAGCCCAATGCGTAGACGCTTCAGGTATCAGAGTACCATTTTCTAATACAATCTGAGCTCATTCTCACTCTATCTATAGCCCACCTCAGGTGGTCAACCTGTATATCGTGTATTCCAGCCGCCTGCAGTATTGGAAGTGAGTTTGCTGTACCTGTGTTCGTCGGCGCGAAAACTAACTAATCGAATCATCTGGATAACTCTCCCCAGTGCTACCTATGGTTGGGCAATGCAAACTCTTTCGTTCGAGCACTGGTATACCTCACTGGCAAACAATTTCGATGGAGAGGAAGCGGAATTCGAACGTTGGTATTGGGCTTCATGGTTGCAGGCTCAAGGACTCGACGTCGATTTGTTCCTCTGTCCACTTTTTATTCTTCCCGGCCTTTTCCTCCCAATCATTGAGACGCACCCATATTATTGTTGCTATAGTGGGTGTCACCGTGTCGCAATCCCGTTTGGTTCATGATCAAAACAAGGGAGAGACTGTAAGTGCCATTCCGATTCGATCACGAAAAAAGTAACAGGTTCCGATGTCAGTGCTCACTAGCACTGTTCACAACTTCACGATATCATCAGGCAATGTGGCCGTTGTTCCCTCACTCAAAAATTCGGAAAGTGGGGAAAAAAGAAAGAGGAAAGAGGAAAGAAGGAAGAGTACGCTGATTACGACTTTGGCGTTCCAGAGTACATACAGACTGAGAAACGCAGTAATTTAAAAAAAACAAAAACCTCTGATTCTGGAAAACGACTTGACCACCGCAGGGGTCGAACCTGCAATCTCCTGATTACTCATGGCATTGATCTTATATGATAGTTATCGTAGTCAGACGCGATGCCATTTCGCCAGGCGGCCATATCTTAGAACTGGCCGAACTGTGGATCATAAACGAGTTTAGGTGGTGGGAATTCTAAAGTAGCTGCCGGTTATGTAATCGCGACCCGGGTATATCTCTCTCACACACCCACCCACCAAGTGCTAGGTCAAAGCTCGAGTGCACTACAATGGATGAACGACATGATGACCCAGACGACCTCGACTCTCTCTCCTCCTTTTCCTCCTCCCACTACTCCCCATCCGAATTCTCCCCATCAACCTCTCTCTCCCCCCTCCGGTCGCACCTCCGCGCTCTCCTCCTCCCCATCGTCTCGCGCGAATCCCACACCATCGCGCGTCTCCAAAAACGGTACCGGACGCCGTTCTGGGATAGATACTTTGTCTACACGAGTTCGCTGGGGACCCATACGTTTTTTATGATTCTCTTGCCCGCGATGTTTTTCTTTGGGGCGAGGGATGTCGGGATGGGGTTGGTGATGGTGATGGGCGGGGGAGTGTACGCGAGTAGTGTGGTGAAGGATCTGGTGTGTAGTCCACGGCCGTTGGCGCCGCCTGTTACGCGCTTGAGTGCGTCTTCTACTGCATCGCATCTAACACGTTAACGTTTTAACTCGTGTTTACAGCTATAGGCACCCACCACCTCGAATACGGATTTCCCTCCACGCACTCCACCAACAGCGTCTCCATCGCGCTCTTCTTCTGGGGATACGTCCACACGTTGTTCTCCGACGACCCAGCGATATACTGGTCCTGTACCTTCCTCCTCATCATCTACACGCTATCCATCGTTTTTGGGAGGATCTACACCGCGATGCATTCGTTTGTGGACTGTGTGTTTGGCGTGCTGCTCGGGGCGGCTGTTTGGTGGTGTGTGACTGATATGAAGCTCGGTGATCGTTCGATAGGCCTGGGGTTCTCCACTCGGCTGCAGACGTGGATAGTCAACGCTGTGTCGGGGTCCGTGCTCACGAACGCCACCTCTTCTCCCACAGCCTCATCCTCATCGTTCGCCTCGCACTTGACGTCTGCGATATCCACAATAACCTATTCATCAATATCGCCGCCTATTCTATTAACGACCTTCTTCCTCCTCCTCGTCAACCAACACCCCCAGCCGATCGACGACTGTCCGTGTTTCGAAGACGCCATCGCCTCCGGTGCGGTCGTGTACGGTGCGCTCCTCGGTCGATGGGCCAACGCCTACTTCCATCTACACGACCTCGTCGAGCGTCTGGGTGGGCCAAGGCCTATGATTGGGTCTGGGTGGGATATCATCAACATGCATAATGGTACCAGCACCACCGACAGACTCTGGGTCCCCACCCCGCTCACACCCTCCCACTACCTCCTCTTCACCCTCTTCGCCCTCCTCAAACTCTCCCTCGGAATCTCCCTCATCTTCATCTGGCGTCTCTTCGCTAAATCCCTCCTCGGACTTGTCCTCCCCCGGTATTCCGAGCTATCGCCGGGGTCGTCAAAGTAGCGAGGGTACGGCTGGGCGTGCGGTGGTTGGGGATGCCCAATCGGCGGTTTTACCTCCCCGCGACGGAGTATCGGGGGTCTGTTCCGATGGGGTTGATGGGGAGTGGGGGTGGGGAGGACGAAGGACAGGGTGATTTCCTTGGGTTTGGGAATGGGGACGGAGAGGAGTACGACCTCGGGAGACGCATGCGTCCCATCCCGTCGGTGATTGATCTACCCTCGACGTTGAAGCTCGGGGTGGAAATGGAGGGTGGGATCGGGAGCGGGTTCGCGAGGAGGGATAAATCTGGGAAAGGACGGGAGATTAAAAGTCGGACAGGGAACGGAAACTCGAAACTTGCGAATCAAGTCGACGAGGATACCGTCTATTCCCCCGATGGCGACGAAGAAAAGTTGGGTAGTGGGAGGAGGAAACATGTTCATTATGATGCTGATGGTGAGTTCTCTTTTCGCCCCCCGGGGCCAGAGCGTGTTTTTTCGTGTGTCAAGCTGTGTCAAGTTCTGTCGGCGAGCGATTGGGGACTCTGATCATGACGAAATCCAGCTTTTTCGCTCCCAAATATCATCGTTTTCATCGTTTTCATCCCGCCTTATCCACCGCGTCTTCTATACTTCTTCTATATCTTACCTGTGGCTTTGTACCCCCAACCATTCTTACTGTCCACTGTCATGATGGGGCCAAGTTCCATGTGTCGTTTCCCCTGAATCTCTCCCGCGATTCGCTCGCTCGCTCTCGTCTCGTTCTCATTCTTCTCATTTCTTCATTAACCATTCTTCATTCATCGGAACCATGCCTCGAACCGTTTCTTCACTGACTCCCCTCTTTTCTTCCTTCCTCCTCCTTCCTCCTTCTTCCTTCCTTCCCTCTCCTTCCCTCTCCTTCCCTCTCCTTCCCTTTTCCCTTCTCCCTTCTCCCATCTCCCATCTCACACCCCATCGCGCAGTCCTAACCAAAATCCTCGTCTACGCCGGCATCGCCATCTTATCCATCGAGGTCACCCCGCTCGTGTTCGAGCTGCTCGGCTGGGGTGTCTATCTCCGTCCGCCGGAGGGAGTCGGGGTTTTCGTGCAGGGTGTGGCTGTGTAGTCGGTCGATATACGTATGATACCCCTGTTCGTGGTCAGGAGACTTTCATACAAGGAGAATTGGTCGTTGAACGTTCGAGGATCGTCCGTCCGATGTTACAGTATAAGGCCTATGGCCTATGGCCACGGCTGGCAGGCAGTCAGTCCAGGTGGAAATTAGTCCATGTTAATATTATTTCTCTTATTATACGTTTTACGAACCCTCTTGGAACTTTTGGAGACAGTGATATGTCTCGAATGGCTCATCAACTGCTCCAGTCTGATTCTGATGGAACATCAACCAGACCATGAGCTGGGGGGGGGGGAGCCATCATTCCAGCTAACGCCTTCGACTGGGGGGGGGAGTCTGGTGAGCTGGGCCGCACTGGTGTGTGGGGGCACGGTTTGTGCTTTGGGATTGAAGGTCGTGGTTGGGACACTGGCCACGAGTCACCCTCCAAAACTATTCGAACCTTCCGTGGGACAGGAAGACGGCCTTCGAATGTCGAATGTTTTTCGGTCGTATCGGAAGCGAAGCAGAAGGGGGTAGGATTCTCGGACGGACGGACGAGCTAGTACAGAACTTTCAACGTGCGATGTTGCGATTTTTGCGATTTTTTTTTTGTTTTGTTTTGCCAAAGGGCAAAAACGAAAATGGTCATGTTATTTTGATTTCTTCTTGTTATTCGAAGAATCGAACCTCATTGGATTATCATCTATCATTGCGTTCTCCGAATCATCAACAACTTATCCTCGAATCCTCAATTACTGTCCGAGATCTAGAAGCTTGCCCCCCCCTCCCCCTGCTTCCTCTCTGTTCTGTATGGAACGTCCAACCCAGACATGAGCTGGGGGAAAAGATCAGGGAAAGCAGCAACGCCTTTTGACAGGTGAGCTGGACTGTGACAGTGGGGGAGGAGAGGGGGGGGGCATTGCTTTGGGGGGAAACATTGTGCACGGATACCCTCAAAAAATCGTTTCGTTAGTACTGACAGTTTTCCGACACCTGTTCCTCGATTCGTTGATTCATTCGTTGATGCACTTAGACCATGAGCCATGTTCGTGGAGCCGCCGTGCTAGTCGTACGCGTAAGCGCTTAAGCTGTTGAACCAACCCCACGGTGTTGAGTTCCATGTCGCACATATGCCACTGTCCTGGCAGTCACACCTCCAACTTGCGATCGATGACAAGCGCGAAAGAAGGGCCCAAAGCGAAGAAGCCAAACACGATAGTGTTGCTGAATTGAAGATGTTTATATAGTAATGCTCAGGCAGTATGCTGCAATAATAACAACTACGGTACGGAATATTATACACATTAGTATATTGCAGACCTGTGATGATGCTGATCTTTACTCACTCATAGGTGGACTCGTTTCCCTCGGTTGCGTTCCCGTGCAGCTCCAAGTACATACTGGGGATAGTGTGCTAGTCGCCATCCAGATTCCTGATTGACTCTGATGTTGAATGTTGTCGGGAAAGATGGAGGAGTTGAGAAGAGAGCTGGCATACATATACCTTTGATAGTTCTCCGATTATTCTGGGTTTAGAAAGCTCTGCATTGGTCTAAGTAATGGTCTTGGTTTTCGAACGAGAAACTTATGATTCTTGTTCGCTTTCAATATTGTGTGGGCCCTTCGCTGCATATTAAATACGTCTCTGGAATGTTACTCGCCTGGATGATGGCATCATGTCTGGCAGTGCTCCTCGGATCTCTCATATGCGAGTTGAACGCGCTCGTATGAGATGCAGAAATCGACCATGACTCATGACTGGCAGAGGAGATCGAAGCGCCGAGTCAAAGTGCCTGGAGAATAAAATGAGTCCGTGGTCGAATCTTCTCAGTGTAGGCTCTGTTGAGGTCCGAGGGAAGGCCAGCTTGAACGTACAGGGATAAGAAATCCAATGGGTGCTTCTTGAATTCTCGGTCCCGGCGGTGTCCCGATATCTGATAGTCGTTCGACGGATTGTTTTCTGTTGCTTCCTGCTATGGCCGTACGCACACCACAAAAGACGATGGAAAGGGATACCACGACGACGCTTCATAGGGCTTACTATGGCGCTTTTGGGGAGGCCCTGGGCTTGTCATAGTAGTCTGTTTCCCCTGGGAGGTGAAGAATCAAGATGAAGAGATCGCACAATTTCCGGCAAGGACGAATTGAAAGAACAAAAAGGCATTCGATGAATTGCGAAAACATTTTGAGAAAAGAGGTATTGAAGTTTGAGTCACAATCGAACGATGGAAGATATCAAGAGGAGAATCGACAGGTAGAGAACGATGGTAGTAGATGTTATGAACCTGGATCGATAACTCTTCAGCTTCAACGGCCAGGCATCGATTAACCCTTCTTTGCTTACCCCGCAATGTTTCCAACTTTTTGATCTTTCATTCTCCAGGTCTTTCTCTCTTCTCCCGTCCGAGTCGTCCCTAGAACTTGCGCCTACGACATTTCTTGTTCGTCTACTGCACAT